TTTTAACTAGTACTTAAAATAGCATGCAAAAGATCTTAAAGAATGACTCACTTTTGCCTTGTATGGACTCAGCCCATAAGTACTTGCAAGCTGAAGAACATCATTTGGCATTTCCATACCAAGATTTACATGTTCATGGTGAATGCATAAAATCACTGATAATTCCACTTTTCCTGCCAATTCAGACTACAATTACTACAGCCTCAAAACTTAATCAATCACCAAACCCACAAATAACTAGGTATGAGCAACTACTGGTTCATGGATGGTTATGATTCCTTTAAAGATGGAACTTACAACACCAACCAGCAAGTTCAGCACTAGATAGAAGACTACAAATCAACTTTATTTCATCTTCTTAGACCCACTCTACCAACCAAATACTGAATAAGATCACATGCTGAGCAATTTAAATTTTGAATAGAGGATGCTCACCTTCAACTGATCTCCTCCGCACCCTTTTCACATGACGGAGATTCTCAAGAGGACATATTTGATTCAGCTGCCTAATTAACAAATTAAATAACAAAAATGCATTAATTATTGTTTGGCCCGAAGAATTAAATTAGTGAACTAAAATCAAGCAAGCAAAGCTGAATCTTATTCTCATGAGCTCGTTTGGTTCATTGTAAATAGAAAATATGTTTTAAGAAATAACGATTTCATTTTCAATCATTTACGGTGTGAAAATCAATTCTTTACGTTGAAGAGAAATTTGAGAAAGTTTGAGAGTTTGTCCTCAAATAACCAAATAGAGCCCAAGTTAAAAAAAAACCACAATAAAAAGGAGAAGATGTAACTACAACCTCACCAAAGTGTTTGCGAGCTTCGGCTCAATAACAGATGCAAGCACATCAACTTCACACAAACAAAAATAAAACTTGTCAAATAAAAATTAGAACAAAAACAAGTAACAGGATTGATTTGGAAGATGCAAAAGTAATAAATACCAGTCGACAGTTCAGAAGAACTCGGAGGCTTTTCGGGAACATGGACGATTTTCCATGGCATTGCTTGAAAGACTCGAGGGGTTGTCTGGTAACGGATTT